AGCCCTCCGCGTGAGAAGGTGAGAGTGGTTACACTGAGGGTACCCAGAAAGCCTCCAACTGCCCTTACCCTTTTTTTGGGGAAGTTGATGGGAGCAGGCTCCCGGGGCCAAGGGACCCCATGCAACACCCTTTGGTGCGAGGAACCAGATCCACTCCCCGGCACTGCGAGGGGTGCTCGGGTTCGTCACACGCTCAGCCCAGAGAGGAACAACCGGGGCGGAAATACACAAAAAAATAATGTGACACGGTAACATTTGATGCAGCAAAGGGAGAAGGGGCAGCGAGGAGGGGGCGGCCGGGGACACCCTGACCCCCCCGCCGGCCTCCCCGGCCCGTCCCCCCCGCACCGCCTACGTGCGCCCCGACACTGCCCTGATGGCACGGCCCCGGCGGGCCGTACCATGGGCCGGGCTGCGACGGGGGCGGGGAGGGGACGGAGGGGAAAGGGGGAGACAAGCGACGGGGGCGCGGGGCGCCAGCGGGGACGGTGCTCCCCGCAGGAGGCGGCGGTGAGGCAGTGGGGCGCCGCCGGCAACCGCCGGCCCGAGCGGGGCGGCGAGGGCGGGGAGGGCAGGGGTCGGCGGGGCGGGGTGAGTGGGGGGCGGGCGGCGGCTCAACAGGTACAAATGGTTCCTCCCCGCAGCAGCAGCGACGTGCAGAAGCGAACGCGCCGCGCCTGCCGCTGTCACCGCCGGGGGGCCGGGGGGGCCGCGCCGCGCGCCCGGACACGCCCCGCCGCGGCCGTCGGCGGGCGGTGGCGGCGCCGCCATTGGCTGGGGCCGCGCGGGGGCGGGGCCGGCGGGCGGGCGCGCGGCGCCGCCATTGGCTGGAGCGGCGTGGTGGGCGGGGCGAGGGGCCGCGGCGCGCGGCGTGGGCCGGGCCGGGGCAGAGCGAGAAGTTGGCGGCGGCGGCGGCGGCGGCGGGAGCGGGGCGGCGGGAGCGCAGGTGAGCGGCGGCCGCGCAGGGGAGGGACGCCCGCTCCGGAGCCGCGGGGCGCCGCCGGCCCCGGGGCCGCACGGGCGAGCCCGTCCCGGGGGTGGGAGCGCGGAGCTGCAGCCCGGCGCGCCGCGGAGCCCGGCGCTGCTCCCCCCTCCTGCGCCCCCATCCTTCGCGCTGCCCGGTGTGTCCTGTGTTGCAGGCGGGCCCCGCCGCCCCCCGTCACCCTCCAGGAGCAGGTGAGCCACTGACTAACGCACATTGTGCTCTCGGCGACTCCACTGTGCGTGTGACAGCGGCTAACCTGCTCCTCGGACATCGCTGTGCGGCCGCCTCGCCTCCACGGACCCGCGCCTCGACGCCTCGACGCCCGCCTCCCCTCCCGCCCCCCCCGGTGAGGGGCTCTGGCGTGCCAAGGAGTCGGCGTCCCCCACCCAGCGCCACTGTCCCGTCTCCAGCAGCTCCCCATGCTCAGCACCGTGGACCCCCGATGCGCCGTGGGTAGCGCCTCGCGATCGGCCGCACTGCACAGGGGAGCCTGGAAAGATGGAACACTTCTCGCAGCAGGGCTCAGTGTGTCCGGCAGGAACAGAGATGAAGGGAATGGGCCGTGTCGGCATGTGGGTGCAAATAGTTGATGGTAAAGTTGCTCAGGAGGGATGGCATGCGCCTCTCTTTCCTCCCCCGCTCTTCTCCAAAGCAAATAAGTGCTAGTGGACTCCGTACCAAGTTAAAGAGACGCATCATCCCGGCCGGTGACGTCTTGATACCCGGTCAGCGACTAACTGAACTGCTTTTGCCAAGGGTGTGTTAATAGAAGAAACTCTTCCTAGTATTGCCCTAGATGAGTCACATTTAAAGAGAGACTCTCTAATCTGTTAAACGAAAAGCAGAGACGAGCCTCACTTTCCTTTTTTGTTGCTGTTCCTATCCCACCCTTCACCTTTACTTGCTGCTTTCTGCTTCTTGTGCCAGGGTTGTATTGGCGCCCCAGCCCTGGCTGGGCATTTTCAGAGCTGTCTTGCATGATTGTGCTGTGATGTCACGCAGGGAACTCTGACTTCATGGCCCTGAGGAACAGGAAGGCGAGCCAGGCAGGGACTCTTCCAGCCACCCAGGGTGGCTGTCATTAAAAATGGAGGAAGTGACGAAGCAGATGGCTTCTCCTACAAAGTTCTCTCTTGTGATTTCTGGGCTGGTGAAGAAGCTGAGTAGTTGCAAAGTGTCTTTTGTGAAGAGCAGCACAGCTTTATTGTCAGCTCAAGTTCCTAATAATAAGCTAGGATTCACCGCAGCCTGCCAAGGTTCCCTGAAAGGACTCGGGTATTCTCCCTCTTCCTTGAGCTGCTCCCATGTAGCCCTGCACCGCTGTAAAAGCTTGATCTAAAGGAATTGGCAGTGCTCTGGTCAGTAAGTAGTTAATTGCACAGAAGGCAGAGCAATGTCCGCTGCATGGGTAAAGTCTCTCACTGAGAAATTTTGCCTGTCCCCATCTCTCCTGCCTGTTCTTATTTGTCATTTCTCCCTCTGAATCCCAGAGGAGTGCCTGCTCTTCCGCAAGAAAAATCAGCTCCCTCTGTTCCCTGTGCAGACTGAGTGAGTCTGGGGTGCTCAAAGACGCTGGAGAGTCAGGAAAATCAACTGAATTTACTAAAGCTGCTTTCATGCTTGTTCAGAAGGCAAGTGGGCCTTTTTTTTTGATGGGGGCAGAGGAGGGGGTGGGGAGGGCAGGCAAGTTCGCAGCTGTCTCAGGCCTGGAATGCTTTTTTCCTCCCCAGCTGCACCTACAGCATCTTCCCACTGCCAGTCCCCAGCAGGCAGGAGCACAGTGTAGCCACGCGGAGACTAGGGAGAGAGGGAAACCTGGTGCAAAGTCCACACGTGTACAATTGTGTCTGAGAGCTGAAACAGAAGCCCACAGTCCCCTACCACCCCATTTTATAGGTTACTGCGCATGTAACAAACCTGCATCTGAAAATGAAGGTGCTCTGTTTCTCTCTGAAGAAATAACCCTGTGTTTGGGACTGTGCTGTCTGATGACTAACCCCTGGAGATGCCACTAGCAGAAGCAGCTCTGCGGGTCACCTGGCAAGACTTGTCCCAGTTCCCGTGAACAGCACTGTGGTATGAATGCTTCCAACTTCCTGCTACCTATGGAACCATCCTGTTCAGCTCCAGTAAGCAAAGGGAAGGGGTTGAAAAGAAGTTTGCTTGTTTGTTTTTGCTGGTTTTTTGTGTGTCTCCAGTAAGCGGGGGGAGCATACAGCTCAATTCCTGTTTTTAACATTCTTAGGGCGTGATTCAAAACTAACCTGCTGTGCTGTCACCTGAAGTCTTCAATAAATAGTACAAAACCAGTGTTTGGGTGCTGATTACTGTAATCCAGGGTGCCAGACCAGCTGAAGAGGAAAGCTGTGCCTTCTCAGTGATGTGTCTGATGTGCGCTGCATGCCCTGTACCTCCAATCTCTTATTTTGCCTCTGTAGCCGGGGAAGGTGGCTTCAAAAAGGAGAGCAGAAGGTTGTGACATGGTCGTCCCTCAAGCAGAAAGCCTGGCATCAGTACCTTCCCTCCTGCCCCAGCCCAAGAGCTGCTGAGTGCTCCTGAGTGATGAGAAAATACACTAGGACTGTGATGCCCCTTAATTTCATGTTTTTCAGTAGCTAATAAACAGGTGATACTTAGCTTGGTAACAAGAGTAGTTGCGTGCTCTCCCTCAAAACTGACGCTCTTAGCTTTTTGGTGAGGGGCAGAGCTGTGCCTTACAGGAGGGAAGATGCTGAATATCAGGCCCACTGAGCTGAAGGGACTCTCTGTTCTCCTCAAAGATTTTTGTTCTCATTTCAGCAGCTCATGGAGGGAAACAAGCAGGCCTAGCCCTCCAAGCATCACACCGAGAAGCGCCTGTCGTGTTCTGTCTGTAACGTGGCCCATTGGCAGGCCCTACGTGGTGAGCCTCACCGAAGGAGCAGGCTGGCCTCTGAGGAATAGAAGGAGTACATAAATTGTTTAAGAGGAAGTCAGTTAGTTAAATGCAAGCAGAGACTTATATAATACATCCTAAAAAAAAAAAAAAAAAAGATTTCTGCTGGCAGGAGGTTCCATTGGGAGAGAAACTTGCTCATCCATAAACAAGAAAATTTCCCAGCATCCTCTAGTGCTTTATGATTTTTATTTTTTTTTTTTTCCAGGGCAAGGTAGAATGCACTCAGTCTGTACTCTGAGACAGAAAGAAAAATCATCATAGGAGAGCAGACAATGCTCCCTGCATGGACACGCATGCCAGTTCAAGCAGCTCTTCTCCATCTGCAGTGAACTACCCTGGTAGAAGCTGTGCACCCAGGAGCAGCAGAGCATCTGGACACCACTTGGGGAGCAAAGCCAACAGGCATTTTCTCCTCCAGATATTCACACCTTTCCTTATGTAACTGGAGCTGAAGTGTGTGCTTTAAAAGCTGCTTGCCAAATTCAGGGGCTGGGAGGCAGCACAAGTGCTTCTACCACTCTAGATGAAATTTAGGGGAAAAAAATCCAAACCCAAACACTGAGGAACTCGTACAAATCTGTGACTGCAAACTGGGGGTGGTGTAAGTGTCTTGAGAAACTGTACTGGCCTGGGGCAGTGCTGGCACCCAGACCATCTGCACAGGATGCCTGGCCTAAGGAGCTGACAGTCCAGAGTAGATGGGAGAGGAGATGGGGGCAATTTTTCTATTGCCATATTTAAAAAAAATTAAAAATCATGTAGTGCAGTGAGGAAAAGAGCTCCAGGGAGGCTGGAGGTGGCTGAATTACTCTCCTGAATGATGTCTTGTGCTGACAGAGCCTGCAGATTTATTAAAAAAAAAAGAAAAAAAAAAAGGCATCAAAAAGCCAGAGCTGATGACCAGTGACAAACAGGTCACTGTGCTTTGTGATTTTTGGGTGGCACTGGAGCCAGTAGTGAGAAACATCTGAGGAGAGAGAAGCTCTGAAGCCCATTCCCGCCCACTACAGGGAAGGAAGAAGCTGCCCACAATGCCTGAGGGACATGGGGACACAAGTCCTTGCTCAGCCAGGCACAGCATCCTCGAGCCACCCCGTACGCTTAGATGCCTGCCTTGCCCGCAAGCCAGTTGTTCCCTCTCCAGTACGCATCGTACGCTGGGCTTTTGGTTTGTTTTTCAAGGGAAAAACAATAATTTATTTGCTTTGTTTTAATCTCATAACAATGGGTAATTCCTTCCTACTGCTCTGTAGTGGCCTAGAAAAGGACAGCATCATCTCCACTCTAGCAAGAAGGCTTGTCCCAGGGCATAAAATTTTAATTAGGAACAATCACGCAGCCTTGAAATGGGAATTGCGAGCAGCAAAAAAAGTCAAACCATCAATAAAATATTCAATGGCAGAAATGTATTATTGACACAGGCTTTAGAGCAGATAAAAGCGGGAGGGCGGGGGAGCCAGAGTGGGTATTGAGCCTCACTCAGTTAAATAACACGCGGGGACCCGCACGTTCGCCCTGCCATCGCAGGCCCCCCGTGCTGGGAGGAATATAGGTCACCCACGGCTGGGGAGCTCCTGAGGTAACGTGTGGGTTTGATTAACGCCTCTCCCCCCCACCGCCACGTGCACCACAGCAGGGACAGAGGTGTTAATCAAAGTAATTTATTGCCTTACAAAACACTGCTGCCTAGGCAGCAGCTGGGCGATGGTTTGTAGGACACAAAATGAAGAAAATCTGCAAAGTGCCACAGTCTTGAGCTGAAAAAACAAGAGTTAACCCCTGGCTACAGTACTCTTTCTAGGCCCCTGCCTGATTATCAGACCTCTGCGGGGGACACGGTCGAGTTACACTGTCTCCCATCCCATGCAACAGTTCCAAATCCTGCATCCCAGCCAAGGGGCATCAGCTGAAGGGTCAAAATCTGCTGTGAGATATATATTTTAAACTTTTATTTTCCACACCCTACCACACCTCCCTCCAGGAAAGACTGGTGCTGGTTTGACGTGTGAGATCATGACTGAACACAAGTAACCCGCAACAACAATATATAATCATAACAGAGGGCAAAATCCCCCGCAAAATCAGATTCAAATTAATTTTCTGCCCCCGTTTTTTCCAGTAGGAAGTGCCATAAGTGACGACCCTTTTCTCTTGATTACCATTTATTTTGCTGAAGGCAAAGCTACAAATGTAGCCCCAAAAATGAAAGATCCAGTTTTTAACCTGCAGAGGTCAGTTTTTCAGGGCATGCAGAGGACTTTCCAAAATCTAGCCATATCCAAGGCAAGTGAGTTTTCTGAACCCACTTCTTGGGTGTTTTTCCCAAGCAGCACTGAAATGCTCTTTACAACCTCCATCACCCTCCACTTCTCTTAGCGAGGTGAAATCTTTTTAAAAAGCAAGAGAGTCCAAAAAAATGAGTGCACAAAGTCCAAAAAACAGGCAAATGGGAGAAACTAGATGCAGCTGCATGGAGCAAATGCATTTTTAACTAATTTCCCTGAGATACATGGTTTAAGGAGGGGGGTGAGGAGGAACTTGAAAAAGAACCCCCACAAAAAAAACCCAAAAGCCCCAATTCAAAAAAGACAACTTCAAAATTGCATTTCCTCACTACAGCAGCTGTCCAGTGGTAACCTGAGACCAGTGATCTCCCAGCAAAACAAACTTTAATCCTTCAATATCACTTGACCAACCTGGTGGCTGTGGTAGCACCTTGAAAATTGGCTTTGAGAGGGGCATGTCCCTGGGGACAGAGCCCAGCAGTCTCAGGGGAGATGCTGATGGACAGCAAGAGCTGACGTTCTTGGCTGCTGTTATCCAGGTGCAGACAAAGGGGCTTGAAGGCAAATGGGAGGTTCCCCTTACCTGCTCCTATCTGCAGACAACCGCCATCCCCTTTGCCTCCTGTCCTAAAATGCTCCGAGCTGCTGCTGTGCATTATTAAAAGGTTGTCATGTTTCATCCCAGAGATGGCCACATCTCACCGGAGACAAGCTGCATCCGCCGGCTGTAAAGCACTTTGTGATTTAAAAAAAAAAGAAAAAAAAAAAGAAAAAAGAGCACTGTGTGCATAAGATTCAGTCGGTTATAAAATACTTACAGCTTTACTTCAGCAAATAGAAAGAGATGGCTTGGAAACGAAAGAGGCAGCTGCATGGTGCACAAACAGCTCAGATGTGTCCGTCAGGCACCAGACCAGGAGCTGTCAGAGATGGCTCACCCTGCCCACAACAGCACGCTCACTTGGCTCAAATCCTTTCCCAAAGATTTATTGAAAACTGGATCTGCAGCACACAGGATTACATTCGCACAGGGAAAGCAGGATTTTACGGTGAACGCTGTGCCCAAGTCATGTTTTTTGCATATGACGCGTTGAAAACAGGCTTGAGGATCTGGACAAACTCATTCCCTCCCCAAACCGCTTTGGTTTTGCAATTAAAATACAAGGCAACCCACTGGGACAGAGGACAGATGAACAAAACAGTAGCTACTGGCCATCAAGAGTTAAAAAAAACAAACAGAAAAAAGAATCAAAAAAACCCCCAGGGAAAATGTCACCAAGAACGTTTTGGTCCTGCTCCCCACTCACATCACCACTGAGGAAGGGCTCATTCTGCAATTTTTTATTTTAAAAACACGTTGAAAAACTAAGTGGATATGAGAAAAACAAGCTCCTGCTCTGTGCTCCATTGCTCCCTTCAAGCGTGGTCCATGGCACCATGGAAAATGGGCTTCTACTACAGGTTTCTTATAATATATATAAGAAAAGAGGGGCCAGAAATTTGTCTTAAAGCTGCTCTTGTGCCTCCCCTGCAGCCAGTGAAGAAGCTATTTGTCATGGCCCTGCTTGCTGCGACCAGATGCTGTAAAATCTGTTAACTTGCTCCATCCAGGTGAGTCTCCAGGCAGGTCTCCACTGCAGCTCTGCTCCCTTAGTCAAAGGAACAAGGACTTTTCCAAATGTACGATGGATCTTTTGAGGAGGCTATGCAGAATGGGAGCACCGCTGTTTTCTGTTGAATATAGAAACTGCTTTAAAAAAAGTAGAAGGGGGTCACTTTCATCCGCAGGGGAAGATGGTTGCTTTGTGTTGTCAGTCTCTGGTTTTATTTTATAGTCTGTAAAAATACTCTGTCTGGCCATCCACATCCATTCACGATATAAAGCAGTAAAAAAAAAATATAAAATATATATATATAATATGGTTTATTTATACAGTTACACTTGCAAGGCAATTGATCCTCCACTGCCTGGGCCCTTCTACCTCCAGATGCTCTGCCTGGTTGATACAACTGCAAGACAAGAGAAAAAAACTACTTGAGCAATCCCACCATGGTGGGCAAGTGCTCACAAAAAGGGGAGCAGAAAAGAGGATGTACGTGAGCACAGAACCTGGGAGATGGACATGCAGATGCTGCAGCATCTGGCAAGATGGGGGTGGATGTATTGGGCAGTGAGGAGGATGGCAGTAGGGTTTTGCTGAGGCAATGGTGGCGTGGGTGGGAAGGGGATGCCAGGATGGAGGCAGCCATGGCAGGCAAGGACACCAGAGCTCACTTTTGCTGCACTCAAAAACAGGTGCAAGGTGAAAAAAGAGTAACAGGAGGTAGAAAGGGGTCTGGGGTGAACTGGTTGCTAAGATGGAGCAACAGTAGCTCCTGTAAAAGTGGATCTCACAGAATCATATAATCCTGGAATGGAATGGGTTGGATTGGAAGGTACCTGAAAGATCATNCCCTAATCACAGCAAGGTCTTAGCCCAGAGTGGCAGGAGAGGGGGTGAGGACCATCCTCTGCAGCTCCCAGCAGGGCAGAGAGCTGGACTACCAGCATATGAGCCCCTGGCAGCAGAGCAGAGACTGCTGGAGTGTGAGCTTTGTGCTTCCTAATGGCATCTATAAATAGCTCCGGCCTCCCACTACCAGCACACGCTTGCTCTCTGCAGCCCATTTTGGGCAGCAAAAGCCTCTCCCCTCTTCCCACCCATCCTCTGCAGACTGGCTCATGCTCCCAGGGCCCCAACGGGACATACGCACCCTCGGGATTCAGGCTGGACACCAGGGGCTCCGGCAGGGTCCTGGGATGGCTGAGGAGCTGCTTGGTGCTGACTCGGGGAGGTGAGTCGGTACCAGCGGTGGGAGGAAAACCTACAGGACAGGGAAATACACCTGGCTTAGGCAGGGCTTGCACATCCTGTGCTTTGCTTTCTGGGCACAGCTGCCGCAGTGCTGCAGGGCAGTCACATCACCCACTCCAGGTGCTCTGGAGGAGAAACCACCAGGTCCCCTTCTGTGAGAGCCTCCCCCACCTCCTCTTGTCCCTGCAAGGATGCAGACATGGCCCTGGGCACCACACTCACCCTTCCCCTGCCAAACACAAAGAGGTCGCTGGTGACCAGAGCCTGTCCCCACCAGCCCACAGCCCCTGGGGACTGATGCTGGCCCTTGGCCACCTGCTTTTTGCTACAGCTGCTGCGGTGACATGCAGCAAGGCTGGGAAGGAAAGCTTCCTGCAGTCACCTCAGCCCCTAAAGCAGCACTGCAGGATCTGAATTCTGAGCAGGTCTACGAGCAGCCCCCAGGCTTCAATGGGGGCGAGGAAAGAACCCCAGGGGTGGCAAAGCTCAGAGACCCACTGGAGTGGTGAGCGACTGTCGTGTCAGCACCAAACCCCATCCCTGCTGCCTAACCTCAGTGCCCAGGGCAGAACCAGCCAGCTTTGGGACTGATGCCTTGGAGAAGGAGGCAGGGAGCAGGCAGGGGACCGCAGAGCAGCCCCTGTGGCCGAGCCAGCGGCAGCATGCTGACCTCCGTTTCTCCGGTAGGCTGGCAGCTCGCACGGGCTCGGCTCCGGCTGGGCATCCTCCTCAGACCTGGCCTGCAGGACAGTCACCGTGGCCCCCGTCTGCTGAATAAACTGCTGCAAATTACACTGCCTCAGCTCCTTATTTAACTCCTCCAGCTCTTGGGTCTGGGCCTGCAAAACACACACCGAGGGAGGGAACAGGATGAGCTGCATGTTCCCCTTATGTCCCCAGGCCACAACCTGGGGATACAACCCCTGGGGCTGCTCCCACAGCTGGGGCTCACTCTGCCAAAGTCAGTGGAGGGGACCTCAGGAGTACTGTGGCTCAGCTGCCCCTCTCCGAGGGTCTGCAGGAAGGAGGGTGCTCAGGCAGTGGCGATGAGAAGGCATTGTTTTGGGAACAGCCCTGGTTTGCTGCATCTCCACAAGAGGGTGCGAGTAGCTGGCAAATGGCAGCCGCTGCTGTGCTGGGAGATGCCGAGCACAAATGAGATGCTTAAGGCAAGATGCTGGAAGCATGGCCAGCTGGGGAAGGGCAGCTACCTGGCTGGGTGAAAGCTTTTTGCTTTTGCTCCACCGAAGGGGACCCAGTGGGCGGAAGGCAGGAGTCATCAGCCCCTTGACCCCCTGACGTTGGGGGGCTGCAACAGGAGAGCTGGGGGGGCATCACAGCTCAGCCTGAGCTGCCATCTCCACACTGTGCAGCCCCCTGCCATAAGCCTGAGCCCCTGCACAGCTTGCATGGTCAAAAGGCTTTGTGCACAGGCACTATGAGGACCTATGCTATGCCCTCTGTGATTCCTTCATCCAAGATAACATCCACCCTTGTGCCAATGCCACCAACCCCACATGTGGACCATTGGCTCTCCAGCACCGTTGGCTGTGCTGGAGCAGGGTGATGCTGTGCTCCCAGGGCACTAGTCAGCAGGAGCCCTAGCCCAGATGCAGCTTGTATGCAGAGCTATGGGCGTGGGACCCTGTGCCAGCTGGGTCAGAGTGGCACTCAGTGCCATGTTCACTGCCCAGGTAGGGTAACTAACCCCACTCAACCCACTGGTCCATGGGGCTGGAAAGCTGGCCCCATCCCCTCCCCAAAAGTCCCACTACCCCATGGGGTGGCTCAACCCAGTCCTATCTACCTGCAAGTTCTTTTCAGCTTCCTCCAGGGCCTTCTCCACACTGGCCAGGTTGCTCTCCAGCTGGGTGCCTTGCTTGACCTTGGCCTCCAGGTCCCTTTTCATTTTGGTGGCCATGTCCTCCAGCTCTATGGGGCTGGGCAGAGAGATCTCCTTCCCCCTCTTGGCCCTCTCAGCCATCTCCCACTGGATCTCCTCCTGCAGGGCTTCAGTCCGGGCACTCAGCTCAAAGATCCTCTGGGTGTACTCTTCCAGGCTGGCTCGCAGGCTTCTAACTCTCTCCTGCCGCTCTCGCTCACACTCCTTTTCCAGCCGGAGCTCGCTCTGCCAAAATTCCTCCTCGCCCAGCTCTGTCTCATTCCTTCGTACCAGTTGCTCCAGATAGAGGATCTCATTCTCCTGGCCGGCAAGCCGGCTGCGCTCCCAGAGCCGTAGGTCCATTTCCAGGGTGTCCCCATGGGCCTCCAAGGAATGCAGCTGCTCCTGCTGCTGCAGCACCCTCCTAAACAGCTCCTCTTTGGAGGGTTGGACAATCCCACCACCCTCCAAGTCGATCCCTTCCCGTGTTTGGTGCCTCCATCGGCTCACAGCGAACGGGTCGCTGGAGCCTGTAGGACCCAAGTTGAAGGTCATGGATTTTTTCGGCTCTCGAGAACGGGGTGCATCCATGCTGGTGAGCCTGGGCTTGATGGGCAAACTGGCCCGGATGAACGTCCTCTCGGGAGCTTGTGGAGCACCCTCTGAGGAGGGCCGCTCGGTCATGCTGGGGCCTGTCCGCCGCAGGATGAACTGCACGTCGTTGGCATACTGTCCACACTTGGCCAGGGACTCCAGGGGGCACTCCAGCGGCAGCAGCTGCCGCTCCTTCTCCCGCAGCTTCTGCACCAGCACATAGCGGCCTGTCTGACCTGCCAGGACGTGAGCATATCATTTAGGGAAAGCAGTGGCCAGCACTGGTGTGCTGAGGCTGCTGCCCCACCGGCAGCAGCTGGTGGCATCCCCACAGCTGCAGAGCAGGACCCCCACCCACCCAAGGTCTCCCCTTCCCAGGAAGCTCCTGCAAATGGGGCATCCCCCCAGCAGATGGAGATGGCTCACCGATGGCCCGTGCCAGGGCAATGACCACTTCTTGGCAGGTAGTTTGCTCTGAGACACCGCACACAACCCTCTGGATCCCGTCCACCCAGACCTTCAGCTCCATCCCCACGACTGCTGGGCCTCAGGTGCACTAGGTCATTGCAGGACAGGCTGCCTGTGGGGAGAAAAGAAACCAGGTTTCCATCCCAAGCCACTAACAAGGAATACAAGACACTTGAAAAGCAGTGTCATTAAATCATCATCCCATGGGTGAATCCTAGACCAAGGCTTGCTGCTGCCCTGCACAGATTGCATTTTTGTTGATGTTATTAAACACTGATATTCATCTGCAAAGAAAAATAATTTTTTTCCCTCATGTCTGTGATGGGAAGAGATGGGGTTTGTGCAACTGCATCGTGTCCAGAGGATGCCCAGGTAATTTCTGCTGTGAGCACAGACTTTTAATGGGTTTGCTAGACTTTCACTGCAATTTCTCTGACAATCTGATAGCATAGCACAGGAGGATTTTCCAAAAACCATTGGAAAAGGCAGAGAAACCACTGGCTGCCTGCTTTTACAATAGAATTTTGAGGGAAGGTGCAGATAATGCATATTTTAATCTATTTATGTCCATCTCAATTTATCAGAGAGGGATTAAGAAATTAAAATAATACCTCTTTCTGCATAAAAACATGACCAAAAGTCGGGTTTGGGAGAGGGATCCAGGCATAAACACCCATGATGAAGCCCAGGCTCTGACCAACACTGGGGTCTGACTCAACTCTAACCCATCAGCTACTTCTAGCTTAAAACAACACCTGTTAGCCTGGGCTCACCCAACTCCTGCCTCTTCCAGCAGCTCAACAACTGCAACAGTCATAAATTAAAAAAAATTAAGCACAAGCTGTAAAGAATTCAAATATTTGAGCTTATGCTGTTTTCAAACACTGTGCAAAGATATATCTATTTTCCTTGTTATAATACTGGTTTTAGTAGTGTCAGTCTTGTCTGAAGGCCCTGCATGGAGGAACATAGACAGGAAACTCCCAGGCCCTCTGTCCTGAGGGTCACAAACTGCTTTCACAACCTCACCCATGTGGTTGCAGCCCCTCCATCCTGTGCTCCAGCTGTCCCAAGTTTGCAGCCAGGCTGTGAGAAAGCTTGAACTCAGGTTAAACATTCCTTCATTATTTTTGTTGCCTACTTGAGTAATCAAAGGCAGGGGCTTGAAGGGTGGTCCTATCTCCAGTGACGAGGAATTTTAGTCATGGTGTGAGAAAGGTGAGGAGGAAATAGGGTAGACATGTCTTGGTGAGGCTGTTCCGTGCAGATGCCGGGTCCTGTTGGTGTCACCTCCCTGCCCACCTCCGAAACATGGGCACAGAGCAGTGCAAATACCTCAGCGCTGAGCTCATGTTTGCCTTGGCTGAGCGACCGGGGAAAACCGGTGGGGATGAAGGGCACATTGGGTTCGACTGACCTCCCTGAGAGGCCAGAACGACCAAAATTTACAAGATTTGACCCAATTTAATTTTAAAGCTGGGTTTTGGCACTGCTCCCCCTATTCTGTGTATTCACAGCCGTAACTGTCCCCTGGCATGGAGCAAAGTCCAGGTGCCACTGCGGCACCACCCAGTTCACCCTGAAACCACTGCTGTACACTAACAGACACACCCCAGCCTCCCCCTCAGCAGTACCCTAATGCCAAAATCGGAGTGGCAACACATCCCGGGGAGCATTATCCCCCTGCAAGGGACCCAGCTAGTATCAAATCCTGCCTCCTGTGCCATGACCCGGTAAGGAGGCCAGGAGTGTAAAAATAAATAAGAAAAATAACCCAGCTTCTTGAGTCACGCCACACAGTCTCACCTTGCCCGAGAAATCCAGTGGCTGCCGAACACTGCGGGCTGTGGAAGCAGGATGGCTGCCGGCACACGGGTCCCAGGCACCCGTCTGGGTTCAAACCCCGCACCAACCTCTGGCCCCGCCTTGGCTGGCGCTCCCGGGCAATCATTTACCAGCAGCCAGCACGTGGCACACCACTGCCAAAAAGCTGGGAGCGGGTGGCAGCCAGCTTTTCTCCTTATGTGAGAGAAACCCTCACAAAAAAGCAGCCAGGGCATTGTCCTCGCTGCATCTCTCCCTCTCACATTCCCCAGTACCCCAAAACCCAGTCGATTTTATTGTTTCCTTAGATCTTTGCAAGCACAGAGGGTCCCTGTTAACCAACTGATCACTCACTGTAACAACTGGGGTATTTGGGAGTCATTGTGCCCAGCTCGCTGCCAGATACAGGATGTTATCTGTCTCCCTGAAGAGGGTGCTAAATAGAGCTGGGGGCTGCTCCCTCCTGCCTTCCAAGGGAGGATCAACTCCCACCCAAAACCAGCCTGGCTGCCCTCTTCCTCCAAAGCTCTGGGCTCACAGGGAAGCCGACAAGACAAAGGTTCATCCTCATCTGAGGTAAACCTCCAGTGCTCCTTGCACCCTCCAGTTCCTGCTTGGAAGGGACATCACAACCTTAACACAGCATCTCATTCTCAATATCCTACTATGCCAGTATCACCCTAGTTCAGAAAAACCCACCAGGCAATAAACCTAAAAGCCTTCACCTCACCCCCAGCATCACCTCTGCTGTAGTCCACCCAACTCTTTACCATCAGTCAAAAAAACCCAACAGCTGGGGGACAGTCTCATTGCTCCACTTGCAAATACGACCCTCCTCGAGCTTTGCTGCCAACCACCTGCATTAACAGTTACACCACCAGGTAACAGAAAAAATGGGCTTTTCCTTGAGCAAGAACTGTTTTTCTTGGGGAAGAGAAGCTTCTGGACGGGAGGCAGATTTCCAGCTGCCTGTTTGTATTTGCCCTAGGAGGTCACTTTGATTACAAGCCAGAAGTGCAGGCAGCTGCCAGGCCCTGCTGCTGCCCCAAAACAGCACCAGGGAAGCAAGCAGGTGGCTGCAGGTGCCGGGCCACATGACGGCCACTCATTTTATTCTTTTCCCCACCATTCCACCACTGTGGATTTGTAAACAATTTTTATCAGAAGCAGATTAAAAAAATGACTAATTTTCTGCTCCCGTCCTCATGCGATACATCCTAAAATTGAGAGTAGGGATGATTCATACCACGACTTCAACAGATTTCCTGAGAGTCGGAATTTCAAATGCTGACACTAAAAAAAAAAAAAAAAAAAAAAAAAATTTAAAATTAAAAATCTTAGATCTTGCAGCTTTATTTTGTTTACTGACATTGCTGTCTCCAGCCTCTCTGAAACTGTCAGGCTAAAGGAAGAGGAGATGAAGCAGCATTTCTGCATGTGCAGGAGGATGAACATTCTACTCCTGCAAACTGCCACCCTGATTGGCTGCTGGGACTTGCCAGGGCTTGGTGATCTCCCCGGACCTGAAATAATACATGTGCACTCACCCTCCCAACACTGATTTGCAGGGACCCCTGCCGTGTCCCCCACAGGGTCCCTCAGAAGCTGAGACAGCACCTTCCAGCCAAGGACTGCAAGCACTTTGCAAGAGTCTTTCTACCACATTTTGCCACACACAGGAATAAAAAAAACCTGGTTCAGAAAAAACCCACCCATATTGCACTTAACAGCAAGGCTATCCTGCAACCCAAATCCCAAAGTGTCCCAAAGACCTCTACCAGAGCTCCTAACAAGGACCATCTGGGACCAGCATAAAGGTTTTGAGATGAGCATCCTGCCAGCACTAGGGTTTCACAAATTTCTGTGGGTTCACTCACCTCCCTAACTATGTCCACCTCCTGGAAGGAGAGCAGGGCCACAGGAAGAGCTTCCCAGAAAGTGTAATTAAAACTGAAAAGAATTGAGAAGACCAGCCTTTTGGGTCAGGGTTTGGGCTGGGGGTAGAGTCATAGAGACTCATAGTTAATAAAGATGTATTTGTACTTGTTGCAGGCTGTGATGAGCCTATCTGTGAAGCACCAAGGTGTCCATGGGGAATAGCAGCTCTGCATTTCTTTGGATACACTCCAGGAAAATGCTGGGGTACTGTCAGTCATTTTATTCCTACTTTGAACTTGACCTTCTTGTTCCTCTCCCACCCAATGCCAGGGGGATGCTCATCCCAGGCACAAAAATAAAAATAAACCAATATATAAGAAAACATCAAGCAGGGAGGGGAGGGGTGGCCCCGTGCCACCACCTTTCATGCTGGCAGGCTCACTGTGACTCACTGCCCTGGATCAAGTGCTGTGGTGACACATCCAGCAGCTATTTAATACTTCCTGAAGTCTCTCACTGCCCAAAGCACTGGGCCCAGCTCCTGGACACCAAAAGGAAGAGATAGTACTTGTCTGCCTGCTGAGACCGCTGGTGGGGGAGAAGCCTCCCTTCTACTCAGATGTGGAGAGGTGACCCAACACAGAAAAGATCCATAAAGAACCAAAGCCTCCTGACAACACTCATCCCGCAGCAGGTCGGAGGGGATGGGCTGTGGTCCAGGTTTCCCTCCAGACCATCAACAGTGTCCTCTTGCCTCGAGTCCCTCTTTTGGAATGACACCACCTGCCCTCAGCTGGGCTGTTGCAGGGATCAAGCAGCTCTGCTGGGCTTTCCATGCCATGTCCCTCCCAGGCCAGAAGGTGATGCCACAGTCAACGCTGACACTGCTGGCATGTCCAGCACTGGGCAGAGGTCAGCCATGGCAAGGGTTGACAGTGTGGCGCTCCCAGGGCTGGCAGTTCCCATGCTGGGTAGAGATGACCATCGACATCTCTGAACGAGGTGTCTGTGCAGCAGGCTCTGGGGACCACTGATGGTCACTTGCACTGCATCCAGGAGCAACAGACAAAGCCCCTGTCTACAGCGACTTGGGTACATGCCCTTTCCATCGTGCCAGCTTGTCCTGAGGATGGTGGCCCCAGAATCCCGAAGGAACACATCCCCTGGCCTGGTGCAAAGCTGTCAAGACCTACCAAAGAGGTCATCGTCTTGTCCTTCAGCATTGGGGCCATCAGACTGTGGGCAGGACATCTGCACAGGGCTCCAAACCAGAGCAGCAAATGGGTTACTTCAACCCAGCACAAAGCATTGACAGTGGTTAAATGTGCTCAAGAGATGACAAACGAGTCCTACCAGAGTGGTCACAGCCCAGAGAGGCAGCTTTTTATGCTTCCCTGTCACTGGGAAGGTGTGCAAGCATTACTCACCCCTCAGGCCTATGGAAGCCACCAGCTCTTACGCAAAGCAACCACAAGCACCCAGGAGCAAGGAAGCAGCAGGCATGGAGCTCTAATTTACACCCAAGCAGCTTATTTAGGGGTGGCCATAATAGCCCCCACATCCTCAGTTCACCCACCATTCCCCATCCAGCTCTGCACTCTGACATGATGTGCCTGACCGCAAGCCCTAAAAATCAGCAAATGACTGAAATCAGTAATTTAACCTGAAGGTGCAGTTTTACCAGAGATGTGCAGATGGACCCCAGCCTAAACACACCCCCAAAGCACGCTGCGCTTCGACAGCAAGCAGTGTCTTCTGTGGGCATCCTACAACACGTAATGCACATTTGGCATCTGCAGAAGTTTCGTCCATGTTTCAAGGGCTTTTTGCACCCAAAAGGTGTCAAAGAAAAACTACATCCTGTGGCACCTGCATGCTCAAGAGCTGAAGCATAACTTTAGTATGAAGTCACAGACCACCACCAAAGTCCCCTGGCAGCCCAAGGAGGATGAGCCCCATACATGAGGATCTTGCAGGAGCTGCCCAAAGAGACAGATTTCTGGAGAGCCATAAGCACTATGCCAGCAACCACCTATTAAGAGAAAAATAGAGGCTTGGGGATTTTCTGCTCCACTTCCTCCCCAAAATTACAGACCCACACTAACATACCTGTGGAGGCTAGCAATGTTGAGCAGGGCAGGAAGAGTCAGGGACAAATCCTGCCCAGGGCTGTGACACAGGATGGGGACAGTCCTCGGGGTGATGGCCTCCAGCAGATTTTGGGGAGGGAGGCTCATACTATGGCTGATGTCAGACACTCACTCCATCCCAGCTCTACCTGTGGGGATTTCTCTTACCATTTCTTTAACCCAAGCTTTTGGATCTGCTACAGCATCAGACTCACATGAAGGCTTCAGAAATAACACTGGGAAGAAGCCGGGAAACTTTTTTCCCCCCCTCTCTTAAACAAGCTAAGACTTATTGGCATGGCAGGCCGGCATTGAGAGCCAATTCAAGGATCACAGGCAGTAATGACATTTCAGGGATGACTACCAGTCAGTCCATCCCAGAGATGAACCACCAACCAAAAGCTCATTATATATTAAAAGCATCAAAAAAACCCCCCTCCATCTACTGCACACACTCACATTACAATGTTTCAGCCTTGGAAGCGGAAGGATCATCTTTCGCACCTTCACGCATCACATTTCTCCCTTGCAGCACTAATAGTTACTGTCCATGGGGGAAGAAGAGCTGGCAGGGCTGGCTAGTAAAGTCTACCGTAAACATGAAGGTTTTCAAGGGAACCATTAGCAGCACCTGCTATTCCTGTAACCATTACCATCCCCCTCAGACCCGCATGTGAAGAGTGACTTCATGAAAGCAGCTGAAAGTAAATCCATAGTTTCTTTTCAAGGGGGAGAAGCAAAATTAGCAACATGTAGATTAGAGGGGAAAGAGGAAGGGCTTTTGTATTGCCATGCTCATTTTTCCTTTCTATTGAGCTCACCCTAATGCCATGCCCAGGATGGGCTGGGGAAGTATTTAGGTTTCCAGCTCCCAGCAGAGGCAGGGCTAGGTATTGGTATTTCTGGGCCCTAGGCTGATCTAGAACTCATCTAGGCTGATCTAGATTAGGTTCATCATCATCTTTAGGGGATGACTCTCAATTCAGCTCTGAAGGGTATTTGCCAGACCATCTGCACAGAAACACAATCATGGCACACATATGCCAGCAGGTCCCGTGTCTCTGCTGCATTCATCTTCCACAGCAGTCA